ATGCCACCCAGATGTGCAATGAGCTCAGGGTCTGTGCTATGCATTCTGTATTTTCTACAGACCCTGGTTCTGTTGGTTTTCCACACCCTTGTGGCTGGTCACCTTCTATGTTAGGTATGTGGCTTTCCCTGATGCACACTTTCAAAAAAGATTTGCATTGTTCTACTGTATTTTATAGCCATACTGGTAATGTTTTCATGCATAGAGCCATAAGGCTCAAAGTTGTTTGGTCATCTAAAATTTTTACATTTGTTAGAGCTCATAATGTGGAACCAGACTCCCCAAAAGCCATTGTAAAATTAGTCTCGCTCTTTTGAAATCAGTTCACATAATAAGTCTGGCAAGAATCTGACATTTGTAGATTTCTAGACAGTAAAGACCTTCACCAGTTTTTGGTAATTGCTTTTCAATTGATTTCTAAAAATTAACAAAATGGGAAAAATATTTGTAAACACACTTGTTACCATCAAAGCTATGAGGATGGCATATAAGCACATGAAAAGATGTTCAACATCACTACTCATTAGGGGAACAAAAATTAAAACCACAATGAGATACCATTACATACCTATGAAAATGGCTAAAATTAAAAAGACTGATCAAACCAAGGGTTGCAAAGGATGTAGGAAAATGAACTCTCACACACTGCTGGCAGGAACAAAAATTGTACAATCATCTTGAAAAACAATTTGGAAATTAAAAAAAAATAAACATACACTGTCTTAGTCCATTCATACTGCTATAACAAAATACCATAGACTGGGTAATTTATAAAGAACAGAAATTTATCTCTCATGGCTCTGGAGGCTAGAAATCTAAGATCAAGCTGCCAGTCAATTTGGTGTCTGGTGAGGGCTCAGTCTCTAATTCCAAGATGACAACTTGTTGCTGTGCTGTCCTCCGAAGGGGACAAAAGCTATGTCTTCATATGGCAGAAGAGGAAAACACCTCCTTTACACCTTTTTTGTAAGGTAATTAATCCTATGCATAAGGGCAGAGGCCTCATGAACTAATCACCCCCCCAAAAGCTCCACCTTTTAATACCATCACCTTGGTGATTAGATTTCAACATATGAAATTTGGAGAACGTATACATTCAAACCATAGCATATACCTATTATATAATCCAGTCATTCACTCTTGGGTATTTACCCAAGAGAAATAAATACATGTCCATATAAAGACTGGTGGATTAATGTTCATAGCAGTATTATTTCTAGTAGCCAAAAACTGATAATAACTCTAATGTCATCAACCAGTGAATGGATAAACAAATTGTATTAATAATATATGCATACAATGGAATACTGCTCTGCAATAAAAAGTAATGAACTAGATACACAAAACAATCTGGATATATTTAAATAATTGAATTGAATGAAGGATGCCAGACACAAATATGTATGTACTATATGATTACATTTATATAAAACTCTAGAAAATGCAAACTAAATTACAGTGACAGAAAATAGATCAGTGGTTACTTGGAGGAGAGAGAGACAATGAAAGGGGAAGGAGAGAAAGATTACAAAGGGGCATAAAGAAAGTTTTTGAGATGATGGATTGTTCATTATCTTGATTGTGACAATGGTTTCACAGGTGTATACATATAGGAAGAATTATCAAGTTGTTCACTTTAAATATGTGTAGTCTTCTGTATATCAATTATACCTCATAAAAATATTTTAATTACTAAATTCTGGACAAATCAAAGATTTAGGCATAAAAAATGAAACTGGCGTATTCCCAAAAGAAGTGAAGACAGAGATAGAAAACAGAGACTTGAACAGATACTTGTATACCAATGTTCATTGGAGCATTATTCACAATAGCCAAGAGGTGGAAACAACCCAATATTTATCAACACGTAATAGAGGTACTCTTAAAAAAATTTTTAGGAGTATAAATTTATACAACTAGAGGGCAATTAGGCCATATAGACATTGAAAATGCACACATCCTTTGACCCAACAATTTCACTCGTAGGAACTTTTCCTACATATATACCCATACAGCTGTGCAAAGACTTATATATATGAGGTTTGTGTCAGCATTATTAGTCAGCAAAAGACTGTAAATAATTAAATACACATGAATAAGGCACTGAAGATGAGTTGTGTTATAGCCATTGCAAGGAAGACATTACAAATATTAAAGAAAATGATATGCTCAAGATATATTTATTTTATTAAATGAAATAAGAAAGAGAGAAGACTGTCTATATTATGCTTCCATTTGTGAAGAAAAACATAAAAATTCTTTTTATTTATGCTAGACTAGTTTGGAAAGATACAGAAAAATCTGATAGAAATGATTGATTCAACAGAAGAAAAATGGGAGATGAGAGACAAGGATAAGAAGGAGACATGATTAGTATGTTATACCCTCTTCTGCCTTTTGAATTTTGTACCATGTATATGCATGCTTACTTTTTAAAAAAATCAATTAATTTTAGTAATTAAAATAAAATAAATGCAAAGGTTCTCCATCAAGAGACCTCCAATCTCTGCTCTTCCAATCTTTCCCCGCAATTCCTCTCCAATCTACCTATCTGCACCTCTGCTTGAGATAGACTGCATTTCTCAGTGCCAACTGAACTCTTTGGCCCATTCCTCAGTGTTCTACATTTGTTATTAATTTTCTCTCTCACCTGGAATACTCCTTTTCCCCATGACATGTACTTTTAGGCCAAACTCCAATATTACTCTTCCCAGGAACTCTCTCTGACCACACAGATGCCCTCTAAGCATATTCTCCCTTGAAAGGTTATTTTTGAGAACTGAACTTCAAAAGTGCACACGTAAAATTATTTGAAACAAATCACTGGCTCTTGATCATGTGAATTAGTCTTATCTTTGAAACTAGATTTTTAAATGTCTTGAAAGCAGGAAGGCAACATGACTCAAATGTCTTTGTACCCTTGACACTATCCAGCTTAGGGATGAGCACACTGAGTACCTACCACGCCATGATGTGGAGGACTGGATGCTGGAAGAATGTTCAGAGATTTTGAGCCCAAGAGTGTGTGGGAGTGAGCCCAGGAAGGTTCACTGAAAGATAACTCACAATAAGACAGATTAATAAGAGGAAGAGATTTATTTACTGAGTACATGGGGAAAATCACAGTGATTACCCAATTTCCCAATGGGGTCCAGAAGTTTTAATACCTCATTTTAGAGTAGTGAGGGAGATGAGGAATATAGGCAATTCTGTTGAGCAGCAATACATGGTTACTAGGGAGGATGACTGGATAGGGGAAACAGATTGACTTGTAAATGATTCTCTTTGGAAACTAACTTGAGAGACAAGTATTATCTTAATATGGTTTGGGCCGGGCCTGGTTGCATTCTTGATCTTCTTTCCTGCAATATACTGGATTACAGGGGAAGGGAAGTCAATTATTCTTTCTGATGGGCCTAGTTTTCTGAAGATAGGGAGAAAGCCCCTTCCAAGGGCCTGTTGATCTCTAAGAGCCTTTAATTCAAAATACTCTTTATATCTAGGCATCATATTTTAGGGTGAAATTTCCTGAGCTCCTTCAGGTGATTTTGGCTGTAAGACAATTCTCAACAGGGCAAGACCTTCTCAAGAATATTCAGAAATCATGAGGTGTTAGAGAAATATCACAACATCCAGGGAGGTCAAGCAGGTAACATAAATGTGTGAATTAATGGGCAGAGTATAGGAGTGATGAGTGCTAAGGCTGAAATGAAAAATACCTGCCTGGCCGGGCGCGGTGGCTCACGCCTGTAATCCTAGCACTCTGGTAGGCTGGGTGGATTGTTTGAGCTCAGGAGTTCGAAACCAGCCTGAGCAAGAGTGAGACCCCGTCTCTACTAAAAATAGAAAGAAATTAATCAGACAACTAAAAATATATAGAAAAAAATTAGCCGGGCATGGTGGCGCATGCCTGTAGTCCCAGCTACTCAGGAGGCTGAGGCAGAAGGATTGCTTGAGCCCAGGAGTTTGACGTTGCTGTGAGCTAGGCTGATGCCACGGCATTCACTCCAGCCTGGGCAAAAGAGTGAGACTCTGTCTCAAAAAAAAAAAAAAGCAAAAAACAACAAAAAAAACCACCTGCATGGTTTCCAAAATCCAGGTAAAACAAACAAATAAAAATCTTACAGGCAAACAGAATACATCCAGAGATGAGTAGATCCAACCACAAGCAGCAACTAGTTTCTGACCCATAGTTGGAAGTGGCCACTAATCCCATTTCTACAGGCATTCATCTCTCTGAGCAGGCAGAATGCTGTAACATGGGTAGAGGCAAAACCAAGCCTTGGAGAGAACTCCAGAAGTGAGCCACATTAATGTGCCTCCATGGGCAGTGTTTACAATCTCTTTCAACTCCTCTGAAAACTTGAGGCCACGCAGATTGGGTAGATACTGCCACCTTTGCCTTTCCCTGCCACATAAGCCATGGTCCCCTTCTTGTACTTCCGATTTCTGATCATACACTGCCTATAACATCGCAGCTCTCCATTTTTAAGGCATAAACAGACTCTGCCCTCCTTAAACTCCTGTGTGCTTCTCAGGTCTACTTCCAGAACAAGTGGGGGAGTCGGTGGAGGTTCCCCTGTCCCAACCACCCTTTCTAGAACATAAGGTGCCCTGTGTGCCAAAGCATTCAGTTTTCTGAGGATGGGTGACCACACAGTTGTGAAGGAGACAGCTGAGCCATCATGCTGGTGGAGGAGGTGGAGGGTGATGAGAAAGTGGGAAATAGACACTGCTCGTGAGTTTGGCACATTTAGTCTCTGGCTCTGCAACCTTTACAGATAACCAGACACCCTCATCTACAGACTGATCACCACATAAGCTTCCATACCGCACATGCCTTATGAAATAGGAGGGCTTTGTGATGCAGTCTGGTGGCCTGGTTCCATCCTCTGTGAGGCAGACAAGGCCTAGCATTGGGAGTCATTAGGCACCAGGACCTGGAATGACTAGATGTAGATAGAGATGGCTGGTCTCCTCACGCGAATGAAGTTTCCACCATGTTGAGAACTACTTTTGTTTTGTGGGACACAGATATATATACCTTATATATTTATGGCTTTATCTTCATCAGTATCCTAATTATCTGGCAAGTGAAAAGGAGCAATTGTGGATTAAAGTTGGAACCTAAAAGGAGCTGCTGCCAGGTAGGGAAACACTATTACCATAACTGAACTAATTAAGCCTCAGATGAGAAGCTTTTAAGCTCCAGGGTCCTTTCTTATGACCCCACTGACCCTGCCCATATTTATACCATACCTTCATTTACTTTTATATAGTCTTTTTCTTCTCAGAGCCTAGAAGTAATTTCTTACTAGGCCTTCCCTGTAGATACTCTAATCGAAAAGCCAAGAACCTCTCTATTCGGCTTGAATAGAAACTTAGATGATATGGGATCTACCTCACTGGATCACAGAAGACCTCAAAATATGGTAGATTTTTCTGCTGGTATTCCATCAAGGCATTTGTAAGCTGAAGTCCTTGACAATTAGAACCACATACTCTTTAATCTGTACCATTCTTTCTCCTGTTTCATCCTCAGTGTCCAGCAGAATTTCTCCTTTAGGAATTAGACAGAAGATACAGAGTTTGTAAAAGCCTCAAAATGAACCAGAAATAAGCAGAAAAGGGAAATGTTGGGGTGAAAAAAGATGGAGTGTGGTAAAGGAAATGTAGGAGGGTCTATAAAATACAAACATATATAGAAAGTGAGAGGGAAATGTATATGAATTTTGTCTTGTTTTGGACATGAAAAAGACAATGGTGTCCCAGCTTCACGTTCTAATGTTTTTTTTTTTTTTTGTCTTTTAGCATCACCGAAAAGTCAGGCAAAGGGCTAGAGATGCAGCATCAAGAGGTAAACTCCCAATCTCTCCTCTGAGTACTTTCCACTGTGGGTTGAGTTTCCCAGGGATCCTATCCCTTCGTGATCCCTGGTGCCAAGAGCCAGGTGCTCTAGCCACTGAGAGCTCTGATTCCCTGGACTGACAATGTTCACAGACTTCTGTGGGTTGGAAATCAGCACTTGGGAATGTTTCAAAATTCCCTACATTATTCCCATGGGAATAAGAAATTGAGGAAATAGGGTAGATATCCTTAACTCTGTCATTTACTAGTTTTACAACCCTGTAGAAGTCATTTCATCTGTCAGTCTTGTTCACCATAAAATGGACATCTGCTGGTTTTCCCTCACTCAGAGCATGTTTGTGAGGAGCAATTGAGAATAGGTATAGGAGAATAAGTCATAAATGATTATATTGTACCAAAAAGTGCGTTAGAGCATTGACAGTGGAGTTTTCAGTGCCCTCTTGCTGAGTGTCAAAGGCCTCCAACTTCCTATACATAACCCCAGAAAGCTCCAATGCCACGTAACACTGTCTCTTGGTTCCTTAGCATGGGGACTTTCCCAAGAAGAAGTTGAGAAACCATGGGAGCTGCTCTCTATCATGAAAAGGTGATCTCTTGCTTTTTGCATTCCCCTAACATCAGCCTGGGCTGTGATGATTTCTCAGCTTCACCTGGGGCAGGGATGAGGATAATGGCTGGGTGGGGGGAATCATAAACAGTGGAGGCTGCTTCATTGGTTGAGAGGTTTGCCAGGGTAGGGGAGCCAGACCAGACATCTCAGGAGGGAAGAGTCACACAATTCTGCTTTGGGTTAGGGTCACAGTAGTTCTGGAATAAAGAATTTCACTAGTGAATAACTCACAAAAGATGCAAAATGGAGTTGCAGTCAACCATGAGACAAGTTATCCAGTCAAAAGAATGCGTTTTGCATGAAGTCATCATTGTCATATTCTCTTAACAGCTATACCCTTTTATGGGCATATTCCACTGATCTTGCTAGACCCTGATGACACCACCTTTTCTAGTTCTGTCTCCAGGGAGGCAAGTTCCTGGGATAGTCCTTAGACAGGAGCCTATCATCTTATACTCTTGAGATTTTTACAGAACAGGATTGATTCCCAAGAGATGTTGGGAATAGCTACAATAATATCCTATATTCCTCAGAATGCAATGGTCTCACAGGGACCTCATTTACCATAGTTTGGATGTACTGAATTCCAGCCTTCAGGTTCCTTAGCTTTAAATGCAACTGATCCAGGTTCTACCTGGTGCTGTTCCTGGTAATGCCACAGTTGCCTGATTTCTTTCTCCTAGTTCAGTTACTCAGGTTCAGCAGAGAACTGGCCCCAGGTTCCAGTCCTCTTGAGGAACATGCCCTCCCATGGGTTTTTTGAGACCTTATCCAACAAGCCCCAGATACTCAGCCCAGCCTACCACTACATCTTGCCAAATGGCATTTTCTTAGCAAAAAAAAAGCAGGGGGTGTAGACATCCAGGGGATGCAGGTCCCAGGACTTGCAGGACTAGAGAAGGGCAGCACCAACTCTAGTCCAATTCTTCCAACAAAGCAGTTGTCATTCCATCAAAAAAGGTTTCCATGTTTCCCTTCCCAGCCAGGGCTGGCTACCTCAGGAAGAAAGTGTGCGTCAGCTCCTGTGTGCAGATCCCTGCTGCAACACCTGCAATGCTGTGGCTCTGGAAGTTCAGGAATTGCTGGTGGGTGAGAACAATCAGTTCTCCCCCAATATATCTGGCCCATCACGGAGTTCTTCTCATCTAGAAATGTCCGTGTCTAGAGTGTCTGTTGAGCCGAATCTGGAACTTCATTCTTGGCACAGGAAAGAGATTTCACTAGCATCTGTAAACCCAAAACTGACACAACTAAAGGATCAGAAACCTTTAACCCAATCAGCTGCCCGGTCAACTAATGCAGTCAGAGTCCAAGATTACTGGGCTGACCACTTCGAGCTAGGGCACGAATTTGAAGTGTCAGATGTGCTTAGGGGCCCAGAGACTATGGCTTTCTCAAAGCTCCAGGAGCCTAGGGTCCCAGTGAATCAGCAGGAGATGATGCAGAACAACACCAACTTTGTCCAGGAGAACGAATGCCAGTATCACTTTAGCTCGCAACTCTCTTTGCTGTCCCTGAACCCAGAGATCACTAATATGACACATCCTATGGCCTTGAATATGGTCCTCCCTGCCCGCCTGCCATTCCTCAGTCCTAAAGTCCTGAGGCTTCTTGAGGTACATGTAAAAAAGTGGATGCATTTCCAGAGATGGGGGCTCCCCAGACGCGTAGAAGAGTCCATGAGGCAGCTTATGCCAAGCCCACCATTGTATTACCAGCCTGAAGATGATCAACCAGTTCCTGTCATCCTGAATAATACTTCTCAGGTCTCTGTTCATAGATTTGAGGCCATTTCCCATGAGACCTGGTGTTCACGTATGGCCGGCCAGCCCATCCAGACCTTCTGGGTTTCTGAATGGCCCATGAGGAACCCAGAAGAAAGACAGTACCGTCAGCAAATCCCAAACCCTATGGCTCTAGCCTTGCCCTCTCCAGCCCTTAAAGTCCTAAGTGGCCTCTATGCACTGCCTGGGGGACAGGCGAATGTCTCGGGGAGCCATCTGCAGGAGAAATACAGCCAGCTATTCTGTGGCCTCCCTTCTCTGCACAGTGAGTCCCTGGTTGCCACTTTCTTGGGCTCCCAAGACCTCTCCAAGAAGGGGAACGTGTCCAAGCCCCCCTTGAAGCGTACTTTCCTCTTGAAGGACCTCCCCTTCCACCCCCTGCTAGCTAAAACTCCACCCCTGTCAGCCCCACACTCTTCCCCACCTTCCCCAAATTGGGGGTCTCCATCTGACCAGCAAGGAGCTCAGATCAATATCCCATTTTTGACTCTGGCTGAGTGTGAAGCCTTGGAGTGGCACCTGCTGCAGAGGCAGCTCCAGCTTCAGTGGGGCTTGCCAGCTGTCTTCCAGAGACCTCAGCATGCCCAGAGCTCCACGCAACATGAGCCCCGTGACAAAGCCCAGGCTCCTGAGAGTATGAAAACTTCCTGGCCAGGGAGGCCCGTCTCAGTCCTCACAAGGGAGCTACTCTTCTTCCCAGAGCATGCCCGCAGGTTGCTGGAATTCCACCTCCAGAAGCAGCTGATTCACCATCGCTGGGGCCTGCCCCAGAAGATCCAGCGGTCCATCCAGTTGCTCCTCTCCTCCACTGACCAGCAAACTTTGCCCTGGAGCACCACAGTGCTATCCAGTGTGAGCATTCCCCAGCCTACAGCCCTGGAGGCCACTGAGAATAGTGCTGTGTTCTCACCCACTGTGGCCCCAGCATCCATTCCCATGCCACACTTGTTCGCCCAGGTCAAGGCAATATTGCAGAGCCACATTGACTCCAAATGTGGACAGATCCACCAGGGCAAGGTCCCTGCCTGTGTGCATAGTTCCTGGGACTGCAGAATTCCTGGGGGCCTGAAGGTGACTCCCTTCCCCTGCATTCCAGAAAGCCAGCCCCCGGAGCTGCGGGCAGCAAGTGACCCTGACCTACATCATAAAGTTATGCCCTGGATGCCAAAGGCCCATGATCAACAGCAACAGGCCTTACCAGGGACTGTCACTGAACACCCCAAGCTGCCCCGAGCCCTGTCCAAGGGAGCCAAGGAGAAACTGGAGACAACTTTAAGGCACAAGTATCTGGCCTTCCTGTCAGGGTTGCCTGCACTCTATTATGTGGCTCTTTCCAGAGCCATGGCCTCAACTGTCACTAGCCAACCTGTCATCACAGAGATGGTACCTGAGCCTATTGAAGTCCCAGCAGAGCCTCTAACTGAGATGATCTCATTTGAAGAAGAGTGTTCAAGTCTTGGGCCATGCTTTCAAGACAACAATGGGATGTGTGCAGATGTTGCAGAAGAGTTCCAGGTGGCAGTGCAAGTGGAAGGAATGATGGAGACAGTGTCTCAAGAAAGCCAGGCACATCCTGCCAGCCCCTTCTCACTCAAGACACATGTCTTGGCCAAACTAAATTTCCACCTCAGAAAAAAGGTCCTAGAGACACAATTGGGAATTCCCATAAGGGTGAGGGAGTCCATGCAACAAACT